TCAAATGTCTCATTTTTGTATCAAGGGATATGTTGTGACTTTTGAAGATGGCGCTCATTTTTTTATACACGTTCTTACCTTTCCTATGCGGCACTTTATTTCCTGTAAATTGCTCCACTGTTCGTTAATAATAGTTCCCAGGTAACAATACTATTTTACTCGCTCTATCTGCGTCCCACTAATGTATAGATGAGCCCCGTTTATATTCTCCTTGCTGATAATCATTTGTTTCGTTTTGTGGGTATTAATGTTTAGTCCGTACTGTTGACTGTACTCGTTTATTCTGTCCATTAGCCTCTAAAGTCCCTCTAAACTCTCTGCTATCACCATGGTGTCGTCGGCATATCTAACATTGTTTACTCTTTCACCATTTAGAAGGATGCCTTCGTCTATTCCGTAAAGAGCCTCGTTAAAAATTTTCTGAGTACATATTAAATATCAACGGCGATAGGATACATCCCTATCTAACTCCACGTAGTATTTTTATGTGATCTGTTTCTTTTCCGTTAATTTTCATGCATGCGGTCTAATTCCAGTAGAGTTCTGAAATTATTCTGAGGCCTTTGTCATCCAGGTCTGCCTCTTTTAAAATGTTTATCATTTTTTGATGTTGAACTCTGTCAAATGAGAATTAAATTCCGAAAATGTTATGTGTATCCTGTATTACTGTATGGATGTGAAACCTAAATTATGAAGGTTAACATGATGAACAAATTAGAAGTCTTCGAGATGTGGTTATATCGTAGAATGCTCAGAATATCGTGGGTTCAACACATTTTAAACAGAGAAGTCTTGAACAGAGTAGGTCAAGATGAAGGTGACTTAATAAAGATGATTAAAAAGTAAAAACTGAAATATCTAGGGCATTTAATGGAAGGAAGCAGATACAGGATAATGCAGTTGATACTCAACGGAAAGATCGACGAAAAAAAAAGGAATTGGTAGAAGAAATACTCATGGCCCCGAAACCTTCGTCAATGGACTGGCTTATCAGCAGATGAATTATTATATGCCACGCAAGATCTAGAGAAGCAATTGGGCACGGTACTCAAAAATGAAGAAGAAATAACACTAGTTAAAAATAAAATGGGTAGTGTCATTTCGTTACCGATTAAGAAGGGAGAATGTCAAATGTGAGTAGCACAGAAACATCTAAAGACTTTTTTATTGTTATTCATAGTTTTCTTGTGTTGCCTTGAGGTGTTATTTGAGGTTACTTTCTTCAAGTTACTGATAAAAAATCATTTTATTATCCAAAGTGGTAAAAAAATAAGTGATATGGATGCAAATAGTTCAGTATATGTACAGTTTGATTACAAAGTCATGTTCAGGGCCCGACTGTCACTGCAAAGGATTGCAATGTTTTCAAAATGTTTCTGAAGGCTGTAGGAACATTATCATCATTCACGCTTCACAACTCTCTTTACTAGGCTTTACTAGCCTCACTCTTTACAAGGAACAGTATTTTGGGGCAACTTAATTTAATGTGTTCTGTTGATGAACATAACTCATCTTTATGTGGTTTAATTAGCGTATAACAAATTAAAAACTGACGTTCACGTCAAATGAAAGAGAACGTTAAATTTAAAGATGCTGTATATAATTATAGAGGAGCTACATATAGAAGTTATATATAGAAGAGTTATTATAGAAGGCTTATAAAAGATGAGAATAAGACAAAAGTAGTTCAGGTTTGCTTTTAAGCTTTTATGGCCATCTATGGTATAATCAAGAAAAATGGAGAGCCTTCAAAAATCTTTAAAAGTATTTGGCATTTTCCCAAGGTATCAAAAAGAAAAAGATTTTTGAAGCTAGGAAAGTCTCCAAAGAAAAAATAAAACCAAAATTGGACTACATTAGTTCGTTTAAAGACCGAAATAACCTAGCACAAACTTTCAAAATATATTTACTAGAACTTAATATTATTAAAATACACAAAATGTATTTAATATATATTTTGTGCATATACAACAAATTAAAAGTGCCTTGTGAAATTTACAAAACAGTTTTCTCAACCGAATTTAATTTGTCATTTGAGTACTCCAGAAATGGCATATGCAGTACATGTGATCAGTTTCTGATCCTAAAGTAAAAATAAAGAACCTGAAAGTTGAAAAGGGATAACAATGATGCTCTTAGGCTTGAGAATAAAATAAAGTACTTTACAAATGATAATAAACTTCATACATTGAAAGCAGACATATTCTAAGAGAAAATGAGAAGCTACAAAAAGAAGCAGAAAAATCAGTAATGAACAAGCAATTTACAGAAAAACCTACCAACATCACAAACAACTTTCTTTGTATGGTTTTATTGTCCACACTTTATTAACCGGAGCCAGTACATTTTATTTACTTATCCTAAAACAGTAGGAAAAAAAAGGTACTAACGGTGTGTGCTCAATGTTGCACAATGTCGTATACAATCGTATTAATATAAATGTCCGACGTATTTCCATGTTCTATGATTCATCCAGAGGACAAAACAAGAAATACACTGTTTTAAGAGTTTCCACAACCCAGTGTACAACGAAAAAATATTTGATAAAATAAAAATACGAAAATATATGAGGAAAATATTTGAGGATAAATACTGAGGAAAAGACCGAAGTCTCCCAAAACGATGTGAAAGAAGGAACAAACCAATTAAAAAACAGAAAGTCACCAGGAGAAGATCAAATACCAAATGAACTCTTAAAATATGGAGGAGATCACCTTGTACAACAACTGCAACTTCTTATTAATAAAGTAATCACCATGAACAGAATACCAGATGAATGGAGGAGAGCAATCATGGTGATGTTCTTTAAAAAAGGGATAAGAAAGACCCCAATAATTATCGAACAATGAATCTTCTAAATACAACACTCAAATTGACAACAAGAATAATAGCGACAAAAATAAACGAACGAATATCTCTGCAAGAGGAAACAACAAGGATTTCGGACAGGAAGATCATGCACGGATGCTGTTTTTGTAATAAGACAAATAAAAGAAAAGTCGAGAAAAACAACAAACCAGCATATATGTGTCTGATAGATTTGAAGAAAGCGTTTGATATAGTGAGAATTCGGGACGCGATACATTTATTATATGAAAAGGGAATATCACTGGATTTAGTAAAAACCATTGAGAATATATAAAGATAACATAGCTATGATAAGATGTAAAGGAAAACTATCGCAACCTATCAAAGATGAAACTGGCATTAGACAAGGAGATTCGCTGAGCCCATTAATATTTAATCTGATAATGGATGAAATCATAAAGAAAGTTAAAAAAGAAGAGGATATAGAATGAGAGAAAAGGAAATAAGGATAATATGCTACGCCGACGACGCCATAATAACAGCCGAAAATGAAGATGACCTACAAAGATTAACTAAAGAATTCTAAGATAAGGCGCTTATATACAACATGGTGATCTCAACAGAGGAAACTAAAGCGATAGTGATATTAGCGGAACCGAAACGATGTAAACTAGTCGTAAATAACAAAATAATAGAACAAGTGATAGAAACTGAATACTTGGGAATCAAACTGTCAAGCTACGGAAAAGTAGAAGAAGAAGTACAAAAACAAGTGAATATGGCAAACAGAGCAGCAGGATGTCTCAACAGCACAATCTGGAGAAACAAATACCTCACAATAAAAACGAAAACCAGGATATATAAATCAACAATAAGACTGATAATGACGTACACAGCGGAAACAAGAGCAGATACGGCGAAAACACAAAGACTGCTGGAAACGACAGAAATGAAAGTCTTACGAAAAATAACAAACCAAACTCTAAGAGACAGAGTAAGAAGTGAGGAAATACGAGCGAGATGTGGTATAGAGGAAATAAACGCGTGGACCAAAAGAAGAAAATTGGAAGGGAATATGGGACTAATTAACCAAAAAGCTAAAGTAGAGAAGCCAAATGAATGGATGGAGGTTTTTAGTAAAGTCAGAGTGAAACCTTCTCCTCTTAATGTAATAGCTGCTATTGAGGAAATGGTCAAACTACCCGCACAAAACTAACACCAAGAAACACCACATGTTGCATCGTAGTTTTAACTAAGTGAACTTGCATCATGATTTTATAGAAACACCACATGTTGCATCGTAGTTTTAACTAAGTGAACTTGCATCATGATTTTATATTTGTTCCTGTGCTTAAATTCACTATGCATTAAAACAATGCTATGATATAACCCATGACGTTGTCCCCTGATAATCAGCGACAGTGCATTTTTTAAGTATTTCTTAGAATGTGGTATTCTACAGCTGTCCAAATGACATGAAAATTTTTAAGCCACATAGTAAACATAACAAACATACGATTTTTTGATAAAAATTACAAAATATAATAAGATATATCATTAATATTAGTCTTGTAACTTTGAAAATGCTCTCCTGGAAAATTAAACAAAAGTTACATTGCCCCTTTTTCCCCTGTACCAGTCAATTAAGTTTACACAGTCAAATGTCAGCGAATAATTAAATTTACACACATTTAAACATACTTAAACTGAAACAAAGAAACATCTGAGTATTTTTTTAATAAAAGTGAAATTTTAAAGTGCAAAAAACGGGGTATTTAACATTTTAAGATCTTATAAAAAATGTAGCCCTTGTATTCTAAATTACGAATGTACACTATATCTTAAATTATTGACTAGGTTAGATGTTTTTAATATTACCTATACTTCTTTACTAACATTAATAATACAAAGAAAATAAAATATGAAATACAGTTTTATCTACAGCGCCTAATTAATACTAACAAGTAAACTATTATGAATTGAAACCATACATATAACCTCTTATAGAGCAAGTTGTGTTTTTTTTTCTTATTTTTTCTTCTCTATCTTTTAAATCTCGTTACACTAGCCCAAGATAGTAAAGAGACGTAAGTTTTGGGAGCACGATGGCAAAAATGGGTAATTAGTAGAAATTGGCAGAAAGCTTCATATAATTTTCCGGTTAATGTTGTACGGTGTTTTAACGTTGTCACATGGAAAATGGTCGACAAGTTCTAAATGATAAAACACAAGAAGTAATTTATAGCGTTTTAAAATTACATACGTCTTGGTGGCAGAAGCTATGCCAAGTGGGTACTGTCATTAAATACAAACCAACATTAACACACGTCAATAACACTAACAAATTCTACCTGCGATGGGATGGGCGAAGGCGATTTTCCAGCGCCTTATATCTATAACCCTTTGGCTAAGATATGGTACCTACAACAGAAGAATCACTGATGTGTATAGGGCTAAAAACCCTACCCTTAAAAACCATTGTTACGAGAGCTGAAAAAAACAAAAACCGGACGGACCTTATGTAGACGATCTGGCAGACGAAAAAAAGGTATTCAATTTGGATCATGGAACGTGAGAACATTTTAATCTGCAGGAGCGATGAGATGTCTCTTAGACACTCTTAATAAATATAATATAATTAAAAATATATAAAATAGGGAAAAGGCATTCGACTCCATAGAACTTTGGGCAATAGAGAGAGCTATGAACACCTGCAGGATAGACTTCCGGTATAGAATCCTGATACAAAATAATTATAAGAAAGCTATAATAAAAATACAAATAGATACAGAAACCCAAGCTATGCCAGTCAACAGAGGAGTTCACCAGGGAGATGTTATCTCACCAAAGATATTCACACTTGGACTGGAAGACGTGTTCAAAGACATTAACTGGGCAGACAAAGGAATTAATGTTAATGGAAGAAAACTGAGTCGTTGAAGATACGATGATCACATTGAAATATTCGCTACAAGTTTCGAAGAACTACAGACCATGATGATGCAACTATCTCAAGCTTCGGAAAAAACAGGTCTTAAATGAATATGGAAAAAACAAAAATTACGACAAATACGCCGAGCATTAGAGAAAAAACGTTAAACGACATAAATTTAGAAACAGTAAGCGAATACATCTACCTGGGACTGATAATGAAAGTTAGCAAAGAAAATCAAACTGCCGAAATTATCAGAAGAATAAGATTAGCGTGGGCAGGATTTGAAAAACTGCGTTGGATCTTGAAAAGCACTAAAAGAGAACAATATTTGAAAACCAGAATTTACGATGAGTGTATCTCAAAGACATGGACACTTTCTGCTTCTTCTTCAGCCTTAAGTAATCCAACTTTGCACATAAGCCTCCCCCAAATCAATCCAATGTCTTCTATTTTGCGCTACTTGTTTCTAGTTGTGTCCTCCGATCTTCTTAATATCACATGGATACTCACCAGGTCTAAAATGGATAAAAATATAAAAGCACAAAGAGCGATCGAAAGATCAATGCTCGGGGTGGGACTTATAGGCAAAAAACAAATGGATTAGAAGCAAAACCAAAGTAAAAGACAAAGGCTGCCAAATTAAAATGAAGCTTCACAGGACAGAATGCCCGACTGAACGATAAGAGATGAACCACGAAATACAACAATGGAGACCATGGTTAGGAAAATGAAGCAGAGGATGAGCCCAAATGGGATGGGCTGCTGGCATTAAGAAGATCGGAGGGCACAACTGGAAGCAAGTGGCGCAAAGTAGAAGACACTGGATTGATTTGGGGGAGGCCTATATACAAAGATGGAATACTTGAGGCTGAAGAAGACGAAAAAGATATCAAGAATGCAACAAAATAACTTCGTGTAAATAAACCCCGAAAACCCTCCCCACCAGGTGCGCCACAGTTATTGTATGGTATTTTCTAAAATCAACACACGTTTTTGGACAATGCATCTACATTTACATATTCGCCTAAATCTAGTCATGACATAAACATTTTTAAACTAATTTGAAGATATTTTTAATGGAAAATGGATTCAACCAATTGAAGAGGCCCTCCATATTGCTTAATAAATCTTATATTTTTGCTCTTTCTTTCTTTTATATTAAGATAGGGTTATTACTCTCCCATCACAACACATTTAGAGAAATTTCTATAAAACTGTACAATAAATTAAAAATAACCTATTATCCTATATTTTAAATATTAGTCTTGTTTCACTTCTTTGAGCTTCGAACTCTTTTTGTACGTCTGGAAATAGAAGTTCAGAAATAGAGCGAAAAATATCGTCGAGTGGATTAGAAGAAAGTATCCCACCCATTTAGGATATCCACAGTCGAGCCAGAGGAGTTGAGCAGAGTGGGCGAATACCAATCCAAATTGAAGCTGAAAAAAAATATGTCAATTAATGGGTTTGATATGGAATATTGAGAAATAATAAAACTAAATGACCACGTGTTTAGTATACTTTGTGCGTGTTACTATACTGTCGTCGTTTGTGGTTATTTTTGTCGTTTCTGGTTGTAATTTAATTTTTATTTTGTCAATACATGTATCTTTTCTATGCATTTTGGGTCTATTAATTCCTTCGCTACCATTCTTTGGCTCTTTACCAAGCGCTATATTTCATTTTGTATACCATAAAAATTATGATTAATTTCGTACAAACACATAAACACTCAAATACTAACTACTATACTAACAGACTTACCAATTGTAAAGTTGTCAAATGCTTTTTCCACCAGACGTATTTTTGATATTCCGGGCCCATCGCTGCAACCATGTAGTAAAAGTACATGATAACATGCACCAGATTATTAATTAAATTAGAAAACGTTCCGTGGCCTCCTGTAAATTAAATAATTATCGTTACTTAAGTCATTGGAAGTAAAAATGGTTCACGAACTCACATTAATTTATTTTTAATGGACCACCACCATTTAAATAAGTTCTGCAGTACCTGCTTGTAGGTATTGCAGTAGTTATAGAGTTACACATTGTATTGACATAAATTAATTTAAAATAAGAAGAAGCTGTTAATTTGGAAGTAATATAAAAGAGTGGAGTAAGTGATAAAATTAGCTTGATGCTTGATATTGATTTTACCATGCAACGTTCATGACTTTCTAGTTTATAATTTAAACTCCAATAGTCTTTTATAACCACTAATAGTTAGACAATTCATATTGCCTGTATAAAAATTTCAATTTGATAACTATAATAGAATTTGGCATACACAACTGGACTTGAGATCTGACACGTTCTTTCACGTTATATTTACTTCCGATCAAGACTTGAAGCTAGCACAATACCTGTAGCATAGTGGCAATGTCCACCTTACTGGATAAAAGAGTTTTAAGAATACGAAACACAAAGTTTTTTAAGAGAAATGGTTTGAGTTGCAGAACAAAGTTTTATTTAGTTATTTAGAAGGGGAACGAAGTACAATTGTTTTGGTTTTACTAGTTTTTGTTCAGTAATTGGCTCTGTCACATATCATCGTGTGCTATATGAGTTAGGACCTTCATCGGAAGTCAAATCGGGATGAGGAATAATTTTGATTAAGGTTTTGGTTTTGCTGTAACGAGAATTTGGTTTATTTTTTCCTTTTAATTAAGTATTGGTTTGGATGCCAATTTCCTCCAGTGCCTATTGCATAATAAAAATAGTCATAATATTAATCAAGTAGAAAAGTAATCAGAACAGCTGAAGAAATAATACTAACCACCGTAAAACACTCACAATATAATCCATAAAACAACACAGCATAAACAGTGTCTGGATACATTAAAACAAAAATTTTCCGTTTACTTAGGCCATCTAAAATTAGTAACAAACGAGAATCCGACAATACGCTTTTTGAGAATGCCGAGAAGGAGTTCTATCGAAAACTCAATAGTACTGCACAAAGTGCGAATAAATCGTACCTAAACCAAGAAGAAATCGCTTGAGTTTTTAGGAAATCAACTTTACACACCAGCTGCTCTTAAAAACAACGCTGGATGGATCGAAGATACGGCGCACAACTGCCACCACTAAGTTACTGCTCCCTACGAACCCTTTACTACTGAAGAAGTTTTAAATATTATCAAAGAGCATAAGAAGTTCTGCAGTATTTATGACTACTTATCAGCATTATTTACAGTACTTCTAATCCGCAGGAAATACCATTTTTTCTAACCCAGGGAACAACTTATTTAATAAGAAAAAATCAAAATAATACCCAAGATCCAACCAAGTATCGCCCAATTACTTGTGTTAACTCTGTATAAATTGGTCACATCGTGTATAGCCCGGCGTATCTACCAACACTGTGCTCTAAACCTGGTAAAAATACCTGGTGAAAATAATATCAAAAACTGAAAATATTGCAATCAACCGGGGCCTATTTCAAGGAGACGAGTTGAGCCCACTTTAGTTTGTCTAGCTACTGAACTTAACTAACACAGGTTTTAGCAACAAAAATAATACTACTGTTGTGGCAAAGCTTAATCATCTATTGTATATGGATGATTTAAAACTATTGACTTCCACGCGAAGCCAGCTGAATCAGATGCTAAAAGCAGTAGAAAGTTTCTCTAATGATATTAGTATTTCACTACAACAGTATGTACTTTGGTCTTGATAAGTGCCGTGTCTTAAATATAATTAAGGGCAAGGTTCAGCCCGGTGGACCCGATATGCAAAACAGCCATAACATTGAGGCCATGGGTGAAAATTATATGTACAAATACCTTGGAATAAAACAAGCCCGGAAGATTGACCATACGCAAATGAAAACTGAGATGACTGCTGAGTTTATACGAAGGGTAAAACAGCTGAACACTAAAAATTTGTTTAAGGCACTAAATACCTATGCATGTTCCGTTCTTAGCTATTCATTTGTATTGTTAAGTGGACAAAAACGGATATAGAAAATTTTCAGCGAAAAGTGCAAATACACCTCACAAAGGCACACAAACACTATCCTCGAAGTGCAGTAGAAAAAACGACATTACCGTGGTATTTAGGAGGACGAGGACTTATGGATATAAGTGAGCAACCAGAAAAACAGATTACTACTTTAAGAACTTATTTCCAGGTGCAGGTTGAGACATCTACTCTACATCGCGCGATTTGTGCAGTATCAAGGATCCATCTTACCAAGGATAAAAAATGCGGACCTGGGTGGGTAAACCTCTGCACGGGCGACATCCCAATGAGGTTAGTCAAGACCATGTCGACAATATAGCGTCGAATATTGGCTGACATCAGAAAACAGAAGGTTCATTACTCGCCATTTAGGATCAGGTTATACCAACCAAACATTATCTGAAATATATCGTAAAAGACGGCACGATTCAGTAGAAAAGATCCTTCATCTAGAGATTACCATAAAACTGGGACTTCTCCAAACAAACCATCTCCCATATTATCAATACGTTTCTAAAAGTATTCTTGATAAGGACAACTACAAGCTATACTGGGACCGCACTATGCTCACAGATCAAACAGTGGCACATATTACACCAGATCTTATACTAGTTAACACACTTAGGAGACTTCTTCTTCTAGTTCCATGCCCGTTATCGATAGTTGGATATCATGTTGGCTACCATATTCGCTATCGTGACTTTATTGACACCAGCTCTAAATAACAATAATACTAAAGAGACAAACAACACTAATTGATGTGGAGATACCCAACAATAATAATCTTCATATTAAATATAACGAAAAGATCGCCAAGTAAAGGAATCTGGAAATTTAAATACGAAGACAGAGGAGAATGCAAAGTACCCAGACAATACCTATTATCTTTACCACTCGAGTCATTCCCAAGAACCTCCTAGAAAACATAAAAAAGCTAGGTCTGAATGAACATCTCTACAAGATCATGCAGAAAGCTATACTACTCTCAACGTCCAGATGTGTACGAAAATTTTTGGGTGATACTCCAGCGTACCAAGTCACCTAGGGCTCGATAGCACGAAAAGAGTCCCACCAGAGCTCAATTCTTTTGATACTGTAGGTATCTGGGATGAGTGAATTTTTCCATTAGAGAGTGTGTGATTGTGTGGCTAAATCTAAATATTAATCGTAATAATCATTTAATATAATTTTATTTAAACATAATTATTTACTTGGCAAGGCTGTAATACCCCTTCATATCTCTTTGTGAGGTATTTGTGTACTTAGCTAACCAGAGAGTTATTTTTGTATAAATATATAGGTCATAAGTCTAATTCGTCAGATTAGTTTCTTGTTTCACATTTTTAGTAGGCCAGTAGGTTGTACTTTCAAAGCTAGGGGTTTAATTTTTTTATGTTGTTATAATTTAATGCTAAGGTTTACATACAAGAGTTTATAGTTTATAATTGAGGATGTCAATATATTTAAATTTAAATTTAGGTTGTACATATTAGGTTATAGGTAATATATGTTAAATTAATTGTAAATTGTATATTTTCCATAACAAAGTAGGGGTTAAATTCGGTTGTACATAATATTTGTTTCATTGGTATTTTTTTCCTCCTATTTTTATAAATTAATTAAAGCAACCATTACAGTAATATACTTTGGTAAGTAACCTTAATACTTTTCTGAGGCCCACAATTTTCTTTTTAGTTCGTTATTTATTTCAGTACTCTTTTCTTGTTCACTTATCTTTTAGGGGCATGCAAATTGGCCGAATCCTGCCTGAGTTTATTTCATCATCCTCTTGGTCAGTCAAGTGGCATTAAGTCTCACATAATTGTGTTGTGAGTACATTTATTTCATTTTTGTTACATTGGCTTTTACATCCGCCAACCCCTCATTCTTTTTAAATTGGTGCTTACCACAAAAGCCCACCTATACAATTGTTTCTTGTAAATTTATTCAGATTGTTGCTACTGCTGTATCGATAAGTACATTAAAAAATTCTTCCTCTATAATTGTCAGTCTGGTTAGTTCAACTTTTTCATTAACGATTAATCTATATGTTATTTACTCTTTCATGTCCGAGAAAATAAGAAAAAATTGTGTGTTTTAGCTGTTCCTTAAAAACTGTGCTATTATTAATTTTCAAACGAAGTATAGTGTGTTTACTGGCGTGGACAACTGATTTTGTGATTTGTGGTATATAAACAAAATAAAACGCTCTAATTTGTTTTCTGTTATTTTTATAATTTGTGTAAGATATCGACTGGTTTTTAAACAAAGAAAATTCAATCAGATATAAAATGAAGTATGCATAAAGTTGTGAAACATTTTTAGAAACCGTTTGATTTGCTCTAAATATGTTGATTTATTGCTGTCGGTTAACGAGCATGAACAAAGTGCTACGACGATCGTCTAAATAGCACTTGTAGAATAGATAATTTATTTAATGATATGTTAAATATTATTAAAATTCTAACGTCTAGTGTTTTGTGCTTATTGATAATTATTATTAAATTATAATTGTTTGATGAGATATCATATAGGATGTCTTTTATAAAACATTTATGATTTTGAAATTGAGAACAATTTCCAAAGTGACAATCGAAACGTCTGAATTTGACTAAAACTGATTTTAAAGTAAAATTATGGCTTATTCCTAACAAAATTATTAAATTGCTTTAAGATGCCACAAGAAAATGAATCTACGACAAAAGGACGCGGAAAACAGGACGCGAGACCAAAGGACGCGGAAAAAAGGACGCGCGAAAAAAGGACGCGCGAAAAAAGGATGCGTGGAAAAAAGGACGCATATTATTAATGAATTACTATAAATAGTTTATTTTAATTGACATTAGCCATTACCCCCTTTTTATCCTCATATGTTATTACAGAAAATGATTCTACCTAACCTAAAATCGGTTACGGTAAGAGTAAAAAGTGAAAAA